CCTGTGGTGAATATTTTATTTCCTGTAGGCGGAGTATTTTGTATAATAAGAGCATCTGGCGATTTGAATCTGTAATTGCAGGTAGGTGAAGGCCCAGCCAATATCTGAAGATTACTGAACAAGTGTCACGGGGTAGTGCGTTTGGTGGACACGGCTGGGTGATCCTGGGCCTCGTTGCAGCACGTCGTAGACCCTCTCCGTGATGACATTTGGACTAGAAAAGTTTCGACAACCCGCTTCGGATAGGTCTTAAGCCAGGAAGTCCGATTTGCATCAAGTTTCCAAGGTCTTAGTTTTGATGCTGACCTTTTCCAGGAATGTCTTCAACTTGAAGCATCGTCTTATATCGCTAGTTTGCTGTCCAACCAAGATGACATGTGACCCGCCCAGCGCAGGTGATGTTGAAGGATGCTGGGGAGAGATTTCCGAGAGGGGACCTCGTGTGTGTGAGTCCATCTGTGTGTGCGTGTATATATATATATATATATATATATATATATATATATATATATATATAAACAAACACGAGTTCTACTTATTCTAATGAGCACTTTTACCTTTCAACTTAAATTACTCTGTCGGTGTTTATTTCATTTGCCTACATTTTGCGGTGGTATTTGATTATTTTTAAGCGGTACGGATCTTTTTAGACTTTTCATTTTTTGTTTCTTTTCCTTGATATCAATTTGTCCAATATTTTTATTTATAAATTGTATTATCTACTTTTTTCTTTACACGGCCCGAGTAAAGGTATATATATATATATATATATATATATATATATATATATATATATATATATATATGTGTGTGTGTGTGTGTGTGTGTGTGTGTGTGTGTCCAAGTTTTGGTGCAACCAGCAGGAAGCCTGTCAATATACCAAAACAAAATTCATATAGAAAAAAATATTTACAAGTGCGGTTAAAACAAACAAGCTAAAAAATAAGCTATTTAAATAATGAAATAATTCAAAGCCCAGATTATCACGGACGCATTCCAAAAGCTGATCAAATATTACGAGATAGAAGAATTTCTTTGGTTACAAAGAAATGAATACTGAGCTGTTACGTCACATGTGTCCTTTACGGCAGCAAATGTTGGACGATTTCCTTGAGGCTAGATGCGACGGAGATGTGGATCTACAGAAAGATGCTAAGGATATCATGGACCCGGCATGTGAACTCTCTCTAAATTTTATTTTTTCTTTCCGGAGTTGTTTTTTCTATTTTCCTCTTGAATTTGTAAGTCTAATGAATTGGATCGTATTTACGATTCCAGTGGAATAAATTATGACCATAGAATATTAGTGTTTAAGCCTTTTTATTATATATATATTTATATATATATATATATATATATATATATATATATATATATATATATATGTGTGTATGTGTGTGTGTGTGTGTGTGTGTGTGTTATTTTGTATGCAGTACTTAATTGAAAGCGCTCAATATCAGTGATATAGATAACATATTCAGTTGTATAGATATGTTTGTCAATCTGGATCACACACACACACACACACACACACACACATATATATATATATATATATATATATATATATATATATATATATACATATATATATATATATATATATATATATATACGCACACATACTAATATAATATATGCGCATATTAATTATATCATATACGCATCAATAGACTGTCTCCTGTGGTGAATATTTTATTTCCTGTAGGCGGAGTATTTTGTATAATAAGAGCATCTGGCGATTTGAATCTGTAATTGCAGGTAGGTGAAGGCCCAGCCAATATCTGAAGATTACTGAATAAGTGTCACGGGGTAGTGCGTTTGGTGGACACGGCTGGGTGATCCTGAGCCTCGTTGCAGCACGTCGTAGACCCTCTCCGTGATGACATTTGGACTAGAAAGTTTCGACAACCCGCTTCGGATAGGTCTTATGCCAGGAAGTCCGATTTGCATCAAGTTTACCAGGTCTTAGTTTTGATGCTGACCTTTTCCAGGAATGTCTTCATCTTGAAGCATCGTCTTATATCGCTAGTTTGCTCTCCAACCAAGATGACATATGACCCGCCCAGCGCAGGTGATGTTGAAGGATGCTGGGGAGAGATTTCCGAGAGGGGACCTCGTGTGTGTGAGTCCATCTGTGTGTGCGTGTATATATATATATATATATATATATATATAAACAAACACGAGTTCTACTTATTCTTATGAGCACTTTTACCTTTCAACTTAAATTACTCTGTCGGTGTTTATTTCATTTGCCTACATTTTGCGGTGGTATTTGATTATTTTTAAGCGGTACGGATCTTTTTAGACTTTTCATTTTTTTGTTTCTTTTTCCTTGATATCAATTTGTCCAATATTTTTTATTTATAAATTGTATTATCTACTTTTTTCTTTACACGGCCCGAGTAAAGGTAATATATATATATATATATATATATATATATATATATATATATATATATATATATATATATATGTGTGTGTGTGTGTGTGTGTGTGTGTCCAAGTTTTGGTGCAACCAGCAGGAAGCCTGTCAATATACCAAAACAAAATTCATATAGAAAAAATATTTACAAGTGCGGTTAAAACAAACAAGCTAAAAAATAAGCTATTTAAATAATGAAATAATTCAAAGCCTAGATTATCACGGACGCATTCCAAAAGCTGATCAAATATTACGAGATAGAAGAATTTCTTTGGTTACAAAGAAATGAATACTGAGCTGTTACGTCACATGTGTCTTTTACGGCAGCAAATGTTGGACGATTTCCTTGAGGCTAGATGCGACGGAGATGTGGATCTACAGAAAGATGCTAAGGATATCATGGACCCGGCATGTGAACAACGATGAATTCTTAGAGAGAATGCAAACAAAGAGGAGGCTTATACTTAACATCAGGAAGAGGCAACTGAAGTTACTGGGACACATAAGGAAAGAGGGCCTGGAGAATCTGATACTCACTAGTCGAATAGAGGGAAAGAGAGACAAAGGTAAACAACATATGGCATACCTAGCGGGCTTGAGTAAGTGGATGACAGAACGTGGTCTGGGGGGAGAGAGCAGAGTGAAGGTACTTGCTGAGAGGTGCAAGGGATAAAGGAAGGTGGAGGGCCATGATCGCCTACGTCCTGAAAGGACATGGCACAAAAAAGAAATAAGTGTCACATCGGAAAATGTTCGGACCGTTGTTTTGATGAAGTTTTTCATTTTGTCATTCGATCACCCATACGAATTACCATAAACTACATTTTCTTCGGAAATAAAAATACTGATGAATAAATTTTTACTTGGCTGTTTATCCAATCGAAAAACAATCCAAGTTAACTCTGGGAATCAAAAAACCTTTTACTTGGTATGACAAGTATCTTTTTTTTTTGTGGGGTGAAAATTGTTTATACATAAACTCAGTTTCTTTCCCTTCGGACACTTTTACATGTACTGATGCACCTCCAAAATTCGTGATGATCAAATTTTGGCAGCTGCACTCTCATCCGATCTTGCTCTAAATGCTCAGTATGTGCGGGTGAGGCAGACTGGATGGCTACATTCAATGCCTCAAAAACCAAGCAGGTTGCAGTCAGTCGTCGTCGATCGGGCCCAGAGCTTTCAGCAATCACGATGAATGGGTGCCTCTTAAACGACGCTCCGTGCCTTCAATGACTATTAGGCTACTCAGCAATGACCTCAAGTGGAATACGTACATACGATCCGTTGCTAAAGATACATAGGAAATTTTTGTTTCCTGTGCCGCTTCTGTAATTACCTCACTCCTCGTGCTATGTACGTTTACAAGAGCCAGCTCAGGCCTAAAATGGAGTACTGTTGGTATATTTAGGCGGAAGCTACCAAGTTGTCACAGTCCTGTCTTGATAGAGTCCAAAACCGTCCTTGTAGGTGACAAATTATTTTCCCCACACTAGTCTCTCTCTAACAGGTGGGATGTGGCAAGAGAACGTTGAGGAGAGAAGGAATTATAAAAGGAGCAGGATTCAAGGAGACATAAGAGGATCATTGACATTTCGTTTAAATATTTGTAGATCGCATTTAATGACATTTCTACAAGTTAAAACTGCGAGAGAAGCAATTATTAATATAGAACTTAGACATATACTTAGCAATTTCAACCACTGATGAGACCTTGCTGCTAATCTAGTACTACGCTAAAATTGGTGAAGTCAAAGAGGACTCCTCATCGGAACATTTATCTTGAAAATATATAGAGAAATGACAGAGGGAAGCTACGCTATGGCGGTGGGAAAGTGTTCGAAGCAGAGGCGCCAGGTAAGGATCAATGACATTACAGATTCTTCTCTGGATTATGTCAGAAATCTTTAGACATATCGCAGTACTAGACCGATATTCGATACACGAAAGAACGGTAAACTTTTAAAAAGTACAAGATAGAATCTTACACGAAAAATGTGTAGAAAACACAGTGAGCAAACTTCTCTTGTAGCAGACCTAGCAATTGATTCAATATAATTGTTCCACTTTAGATTAGGGGAAAACGTTAGACAGATAAGGCTCATTGAATCACTCACCTGGATTTTCGACTTTACTATGTTGACAGAAGAAAAACATACGATTAAAGGCGAAAATCTTCGATTTGGAAGCGTTGTAATTAACCATCTTGCTGTTAGCGAACAGTGATGCTTTTATGCAAGCTAGATAGTTTACTCGATGTTCGTTATTTTCGGTATGTCTTGTGTGTGTCAGATTTCCCAAGCCTCATTTCTTCTTTATGTGTATCAGATATTTAAACTTTTTTTTCTGAACTTAAGCAAAAGTTTGCTATACGTTCCAGTTTTCCACAATCCTCCTTCTTTTAAAATATGTTCCACCCATTTCAACTTCCTTTACAAGCACATCTCTCTTGCCTCAAGTCTCTTCTCTATCAGCAGGGCAACCCTTTCTATATTTGAAGACAGGTATTACATATAATTTCAGCACTCCTTCTTTCTAACTAATTTTTCAGTGTTTTTAAATAGTTTGTGCTTACGGTCGCATCAATTTGAAACACCGGTTCCTGTACGATCATCGAAGTTAAGCATCGCCTTGGTCTGTACCCAGGTGGGTGACCGCCTGGGAATAATAGGTGTCGTAAGCTGGGATGTGCGTGTGGTGTAACGGAAAATGTCTCCATATTTTTAATTGGAGAGCCGAATTCTGGTTGTGTTCATTATAGTCACTTACGAGAAAATATCTTTGGGAAAGGTATGAAGCCACCTCTTTTTTCATCGCAGCTTTAAGTTAATTAGTAAGACTTGTATCACTAAACCATTGTTATATAAAAAAGAAAGAAAGAAAGAAAGAAACAGAAAGAAACAGAAATAAAACATTGTGGCTTTAAATAACCTGAAAAGAGTAGAATACGAATCAATCAAACTAAATAATACGTTTAAATTACAGTAGGCTTCTTTCTCTACTCCAATCTGACACTTTAGATTTTTGTATAACGTTTTCCATTGTCTTTCATAACAATTCCTCATTGTTAAAATTCTTTAATTGCTTGATTTTGACATCTCCAATTTGTAACTCGCATATTCGGCTGCCCCATTTGCTAAAGACCATATATTTTGTCTTCTGACATTTGAAAGAGCTTTCTTAACTCTTTCATCTTTTACCTCGTCCAGGAAATTCTGCATTTCCTGCAGTCACTTTTGGCTATCATTTTTGTTATAATATTTGAACGCTAAGATAACGAATATCAGGTAAAGTCAATTCCTTGGGAAAAAAACAAAAAAAACAAAACAAAAACAAAAACAAATGGGCTTTGGCAGTTTCAACCAAAAATTATCGAAACATTAACATTGAGTTCTCTGAACGTATTGGAAAATTTACATTATTTTTTTTCTTTATTAATCTTTCATCTATTTTGACTAGGTTACAAAGTGCGAAGTAAAAATCTTGACAACTTTAAAGAAACGCCGTGAAACATAATTTTTCACACTGCATGCGAGCGAGAATAAATTTGCTAGGAAAGAGAAAAATCAGTAATGAAAAATCGGACAAAATATATTACGTCATCGTAATGATAAGAATAAAAATATGAAGATTTCTTTACCCATAAATACCATTATAAAGAGATTTATCATTCTTGTTATTTTTGCATATTTCTCTCTTTATATTTTTACCATCTAACTTTTTACCTCTCAAATATATATGTATGTATAGCTGGCCAGTCGTATTCGAGGATACACATCTTCTAGAGCGGCTAGCCGATCCCTATTGCAGAAGCTTGCTCAGGCAAATTTCTGTTTGTTCAACACCCGCAGAGCCCAACCCTGGTTTATACTGCAACTATGCTGAGCAGACTTTAGTTTCTGGGAAAAATCGTGTTATCTGTGGTGATCAACAATTTGGAAAAAGGCTAGCACACCCAATTCCTCGGTCACGATGACTTGTGACTTCGTGCTAGCAGAGATGTCGACGGCACCCACGGGTTCTGTCTAGTCAATTTCACTCAAGGCTTGGGTCAACCCGTGCTATGTTTTTTTTTTTCAGGCACTTTCCAAAGGTGCCACACGCTGGGATGGATCCCTACAGTACGATAACATCCGGAAGCCTCCTTCCTGACAAATCGATCATGCTGAGATTCGATCCCGTGTCTCATGGTCAGAATGTGAACATTCTAACCGCTCGGCCACACAAATATATTAATACGTATTTTCCCTAGAATTTAACGTAATTGCTCATCAAATGTTCTTTTCTCTTTTTTTCTTCTTATTCTTCATATTGTTGATATATTTCTTCTTCTTGTTCATTTTGTTTTTTGTATTTCTTCTTCATCTTGCTGCTGCTGTTGTTTTTCTTCTTCATCTTACTATTTTTGTCGTTGTTGTTTCAATTCTTCATATTCATTTCTTTTTTTGTATTTTTCTTCTTCCTCTTGTTCACCATTTTCTTGTTGCTTTCTTCTTGTTCATTTTGTTGTTGTCTTTCGTTTTCTACTCTTTCTACTTATTGTTGTTGTCCTTGATGTTTTTATACTTGTTGTTCATCTTCTTGTTCTTCTTCTCCTTCTTCTCTATATTTACATATATTGTCCCGTCCGCCATTAACTTCTATTTCAACTCTCTCTTACTCTTCATAATTCTCTTTCTTTCTTTTTTTCGCTGTCGCCTTCATTCCTAAGTTGATTTTTTTTTCTCCAGTTATGATTCTCTTCTTCTTACCATTTCTCATATCAATGATCATTCTTCTTACATTTTTTTTATTTATTATATAAATCTGCGTCTATACATTAAGTCACGTTGTGTGTATTTCATTGAGACTAGCTTCTTGGTGTAATTTTTTTCTCTTTTACTTTTTCCGCCTTTCTATTTTCTATTGCTTTTCGTCTATTCACATCTTTATTTAGCGTGTTTCTCCCATGAGGTATATGGATTTATAATCAATCATGCACGGATCATTTTTGATACAAGGTTGAGTGGAACGTTTGGCCTGACCTCACTCTCGTCTAATAAATCACTTCGAATTGTCAGCGGAAGCACAGCATGTCATTTTCAAAGTCCCTGTCCGACAGCACGCGGATTTCCGCCTATAGTCTGCCCTCAAAGAGAAGGCTAGAGTTCATATTAATTCTGCAGAAATTATTAATAATAATAATAATAATAATAAGTGTGGGCCAATACCGGCTTTGGAGAGTCTGCAAATTTTACGGGAAGGAAACTGCATGAAATTGGTATGAACAGACCAATCAGACGCGGTTAAAGATATAGGACCTGTAACGACATTATAGGACTATACATGACACACAGACAGAAAAATCAATGATCACCCATATATGGTGATAAAAAAGTACACAGACAGGATGTGCTTTCTTTTTGACATGACACTTCACACAGATTCTCATGTATCTCCGAAGATCTAAAAAAAGAAAAAAAAAAAAAAAAAAAAAAACAAGGATCTGAAAGTGGAAATCCTAATGTTATCGTCCTGGGTAAGTCGTTAAACGATATCCAACAGCAAGGCCTCTGATCAGGAGGTTTTGAGGAGCGTGGAACCGCCTTTTAATTGCTGGTGTTCCCAGGTCAATCCTGACCGGGGGTGGAAGCACTTGTCAGGGTCCCAGCTATGGGTAAATAGTTAACCCCCAAATTGTTGTCAAAACACTATGGAAGTCCAAAAACAGGTTTTAATACAAGAATAATTTGTAAAAAAAAATTATTACCAGTAATAAATTTCTGAAGAAAAATTATTACCAGCAATACATATTTTGAAAAAAAAAAAAATTACCAGAAATAAAATAAAAAAAATGTCGGCATTAAATAAAGCATTGAGGTTGATAAGTCGTAAAACAAACCAAACGTAACAATATTACACATGAATTCTTCAATAATTTCAGTTAGAATCGGTCTCTGGTCTTCTTTAGAAAAGGTTCTGACAGACACGTCGGTAGTCCATGATGTAAAATCAATACAAAGGATTCTTCTCAAATGTACAACTCAAACGTACGAAGGACTTTATACATGTAAAATATGTTGTTTTTTTTTTACTATTTATGTTTTTATAAAAATGTAAAGTGGAAAATAACATAGTGTCGCTTCTGATAACAGATCTCTGGTTTAGACCCGGAAAAAATGTTATATAGAACTGTAATCAAAGAAAATCATTAACAATGAGGGAAAAATTAAACAAAAGTGTTAATGGTCAGTTATGATATCCGATACAACAATATGAAACCAATAATGCTTGCGACACATTTTATCTCATTTAATGTAATTTCGACGAACATCGTCAGTTGCATTTTTTTTTTTTTTTAAATATCCTGAATCCACCGACTTTTCTATCCTTAATTACATATGCAAAGAACTAACGCTCTACTCCGGAGAAAAGAATAAAATGATAGCAGCGTTATATAAGATAAATAATTATAATATACTATTTGATTAACTGACATATTAACTCAATGAACTAATGTAAAATTTCAGGATGAGCGTGTGCCCCATCATGTTACTCACGTTTCAGCTGCATTCCAGCTGGCAGCGTTTCATTCATATTTTCGGGTTGATTGTGACGTGAAATACAGTTATCAATATTTTGATTTATTGTATATTCTTCTCTCGCCTTCAATATATATATATATATATATATATAATCTTTTTTTTCAAATTTGATTGCATCGCTACATAGGAATTGTCATGTATCAAAAACAGAAGCCATGTTTTTGAAACATGGGAATTCCTATGTAGCGATGGAATAATATTTTTTTTAAATAATTATAATATACGCTACTTGTTATCGAGCACTGCTATTTAAAATAAAAGCAAAAATGCTAAAGATCTTCGGATTATTAACCTGACTGTTCTTTCATATATATATATATATATATATATATATATATATATATAAAATAAAAAATCAACATTTCATCAATTTCATATATATATATATATATATATATATATATATATATATATATATATATAATGAAAAACAGACCACTTTAACATTAAAAGTGGTCTGATTTTTCATTAAATATTAACTCTGTATTCACATTGAGCTCTCAGGATTTCATCCTCCTTGGAATTACCCATTCAGTTTACCAAGTTCTTCGTAACTTAAATATATATATATATATATATATATATATATATATATATATATATATATATATATATAAGAACGACTGCTCGATCAAACAAAGAAAATGTAGATGGTTATTGGGAAGAAGATAGTAAATGTTTATGAAATCGTGCAGTTAAATATTTAAATAAACACAGGGTGGAATAAAAAAATGAACATGGCTTACAAATTAAAACATAAAAATTTAGTCAAATATAACTATGGGAAATGTTTCCCAATATAATGGCGCATCTAGAATTATCCTAAACAATTATGTCAGATTAAACAAGACGGGTTTGGTACGTCTCGCCGTAGCACATTTGGCGTCGCTGTTTCGGCGTCAGAAAAAAATAATTGGAATATTCGGCACAGCCGTTTCGGCGTAAGACAGTTTCGAAGTCACTGTCTTTGACCAGGAGCCCCCAACCCCAAAAGGATAGAAGCGTTAAAAACACAAAATTCATCTAACCATTTTTTTTTCTTAAATTGGACTATTCGAGCATATAATAACGAAGTACTAATTTCACTACTAAAGGAG